ACACAGACATTATTTACACAGGAAAGGCTTATTAACAGAATGCTGAGATGGAGATCAGCCTGCTCAAATGAATATGAAAATGACATGCTCAGTGAAGCAGATGTAGATGAAGATGCTAGCCAGATCTACTTGGAGCCTGAGATTAAGTTGTTTTTCAGATGTTTGGGATAATTTTACTTGATCTTCTGTCTTTTCATTGCTTCCTCTTAATTCCAAGAGTGTAAACCAACTGGTGTTGGGTAGGAGTTGACTTTTCTTCACAAAACCAAAGCATCAAATGATTTAGATTAAAACAGGACTGACATAGTTCTAGATTAAGTATCCTGCCCAATGGAACTACTTATCTTGGGTAAGTTTTAAAGGATTGAAAGCTAGAGCATTCAAAACATTTCAAAGAGATAGTCTCCATGCATAAAAGGAATGTAAATGTACAATTTACAAGATGATAAGGAAAGAGTTACTAAAGCTAAATATGCAATTTCACTCCTGGTAAATATCAGAGGAAAAGAAAGCATACGGGAACTACATTTAACCTTTTGGGAATATTTGGGACAGGAATGTTCATAGTAGTTTAGCTGTCTTCTGTGCATATACTTGACACATAATAGGTGCTCAATGAATGTGTGACATTGAAAGGAACACATCTTTATATCTCACATGTGGCTTCACAAATCCAGCAACACATACTAGTTGCATATATTTATCCATCAGTTTGGATATCTACCATAAATACTTTAAGCAAAACCATTTTATTAATAATTTCCATTTGAATCCATTATTTAATAAAACATCAGAGTGAGGTCTTTGGAATAATTTATTCAAGCTTAAGATAATCATAAAGAAGGGCCCATTACTAAAAAAGCACAGTGTTATTAGAAACTAAGTTTTAAAAATGAACACATAGATGCTCCACTAACTGTTTTATCTCCCAAGCTGGCCTGATACTAAACTCTCTGTAAAAGCATTGTCTTGCAGAGGGAATGGTTTTGGTCAATGCTAAGGTCTGGCAGTTGTATAAAATTAAAGCTAATGATATAGAACAGTGCCATTCAATGACACTATCTGGAATGATGGAACGTTCTGTATCTGTGCTGTCCAATATGGCAGACACAGGTGGCTACTGAGCGCTTGAAAGAGCAGCATGTGATGGCAAAATGTGCCAAACAGAGCCTGCAAAATTATAATATTTAATGCAACCGGAGTGACCAGAAAACAGAGCTACAAATAACTTGGCCGCAAATATTCCCAAAAGGTTAAATTTAGTTATCATAGATGTTTTAATAGTTTTATCCAAAATAATAGAACAGAGGCTTAACTTTCAAGCCTTCATTCAGTTGCAAATTTAGAAAAATAACTAGTTCTTTAAGTCAAAGACTTGCCAATCAGACAACAGAGAACTTAATCTATTTTTAAGTTTCAAGGTGACATACCTGATTCACAGAGTTCAACATGAATAGTAGTCACCAGGAGAAAGAGTCCACAACACAGTTTCATGGTGGGAAGCTAAGGGCAGAGAAAGGAAAATATAAAACAAACCCTGCCCTCCACTTAGAGCTACCTTAGCCATTCTATGACCCAGATTAGAATAGCAGAGAAACAAGCAAGCCACCAGCTAGAAGGTTTAATGATTAACCCCCATCACTTGGGTTAATACTTTGATAGAAGCAGCCCATCTCCTGTCAGTTATTTACAAAAACCTGTTTGGAAAACAAGTTAGTTGTGCCTTGCAAACTCTAGCTTGAAAGAATGTTTCCCCTGCTGACTCAAAGTCAGAATTCTCCTGCCCTAGCCCCCCCCCCGCCCCGCCCCCCCGCCTCTCGCCCCTTGCCCCTTTGTTGTCTGGTTAAGTGCAGGATGGAAAGAATTGAGTCCTCTGTGGAGGTTTTTTCCTGGTATGAACTTCCCATCTTTTCAGGCCTAAAGTATCTATCTGGCTGACAGATAAGCTATCTTAATTTGGAAAGCTAAGATCACTCCTTTCTATCTCTGGAGACAAAGGCCTTGCAAGAAGGGCCTTACCTGACTCACACTTCAGCAGGTAAACATCCTGGCCCAGCTTCCAAATCAAAGGGAATGATTTTGGTCAGCCCGAAGGTGTGGGAGCTGTGCAAAATCACAGCTGATGACATAGAGCAGTGCTGTCCAATGGAACACCCTGTGATGACGGAAATGCTCTTAGCTGCACCACACAAAGTGGTAGCCAGTAGACATGGGTGACTGTTGAGCACTTGAAATGGGGCTGGTGCTGCTGTGAAAGGAATTCTTGATTAAATTAAGTAGCCACATGTGGCTGGTGGGCACATTGGTCAATGATGCCATAGAGCAGTTATTAAGAGCTGCCCACCACAAACTAGGTCTGCTGGGTTCTTTCTTTAATCCTCCAAAGAGCACCTCACTGGTGCAGTTGTTCTAATTATCTTACAGTGAGGAAATCAAGGCTTGTGTTCAAGGCATTGGTGGCAATGGGAGGAGTGAATAGGTGTCACTTGAACCCTCTCTCCACCACACTGAACCACACTGCATCTCAGGTCATCATGGTGTAAAAGCTGAAACTGCAGCAAAACCTCAGAGATGCTCTGAGTAAGATAAAGAATGGACAAGACTCCTTCCCTGGGGGGCACTCTGTAGAGGCCAGTAGAAGCCCCACAGAGGGTCCATGTCAGGGCTGTGCTCTCTTCCATGCTGCCTCTTCATGCATTTGCTCCCCAAACTCGACCTTGTGGCTTGAAAACCATGAGTGGGAAAATTAGGTTGGGTGACCCGGATGTTAAATAGAAAGTTTGGATTTTTAAAGCAACAATGAGAAAATGCAAACAATGACACTTCTTCAACACTTTGAGAGTCACACCATTTCCCCCTTAATTAGGGTGGTATGTTATCATCTGACCCATTTGTGTTTGCTAACTCCACCTGAGGAAGCTTTTTGCCTTTCCTCCACTTTGGTTGCCAGGGCTCAGAGTCAGGCGAAGTTAGACTAGAGGGAGAGGCAGCCAAAAGTTAGCCCAGCCATTCCAGAAGTGTCACTATTTAGTGAATTTTCATTTCACTAAAATGAAAATTTCCTAGAAGGAAAAGCTCACATAACTAACCCTTGCAAACAAGGTCAGACTAGATCAAGTTATCTTGGCAAATGTTAGATAAGATAAAGTCATCATGGGAAAGAAAAGTCAATAGAGATTGTAAGAAAGCTGATAACTGGCATCAAGGAACAAAGCCATGTTAGAGACAGAAATCCAATTCAGCTTTCCTTTAGCCTGAAACGTCATAAAAGTATCAAATACCTCTTTTTCTTTTGCTTAATCATCTATGTGACTAAGATTGAAGACAGTAAAATGCTGAATCGTAGTCTAAGCCATTCATTTGAAATGAGAAGAAAATCTCTTCCCTATTGAATTATGACTTCCCAATGTTTGTTGCATCATTTTTTAAAGGTAAAAAAAAAAGCAATTTAAGTTCTTTATAGAAAATAACAGAGAAGCCAAAAGACAAAAGTAGAAATCACTTGTAATTCCACCAGCATCAATGACCATTGTTAATGTCCAAATATTTGGAACATATCTTTCTTAGGCTTGGGTCTTCCTCTGTGTGTGTGTGTGTGTGTGTGTGTGTGTGTGTGTGTGTGTGTGAATACAAATAGATTTCTTTTTAAAAACAAAACTAGGAATTGGAGCCGTGTTTAAGAGTAGAAACTTGAAACCAATTAATAAGTCTAGGACAGGGGTGGGCAAACTTTTTGACTCGAGGGCCACAATGGGTTCTTAAACTGGACCGGAGGGCCAGAACAAAAGCATGGATGGAGTGTTTGTGTGAACTAATATAAATTCAAAGTAAACATCATTACATAAAAGGGTACGGTCTTCTTTTTTTTTAGTTTTATTCATTTCAAACGGGCCGGATCCGGCCCGCGGGCCGTAGTTTGCCCACGGCTGGTCTAGGAGATCTAAGGCACAGCACAGTATGGACAAAAATACTGTACTATAAATTTCAAGCTTGCTAAGAGACTACATCTTAATTGTTCTGACCACAAAAAAGAAATTATAATTATGTTATGTGGTAAAGGTGTTAGCTAACACGATGGTGATAAGCATATTGCAATATATAAATGTATCAAATCAACATAGTGTACACCTTAAACTTGTATTGTTTCTATTAGTCTCATGAACAAACTTGAGGTTATACTATTATGAAGCTTTGTCCCTTTCTTTCTTGAACTTAGTGTATTTTGGATATATTTCCACATCATTAACTATTCCTCTATAATATAGTGGTAATGAATCATTTGCTTTTAATTCAAATTTCTTATTTTCCATTTTACTATAATAAAAATGCTATAATAAATATTCTGGATACTAACAATTTTTTGCTCACTTGTAATAATACCTTTGGTATAAATTCTTAAAATTTAAGTTTTGGAGGCAAATGATATACAAAAAATGTAAGATTCTTTTCAGAACTGTTATGTCTGTGTACATATCTCTCTTGCACTATGTATTTATTTTTCATTGTCCTGCATCAAATGATATGCAAAAATGTAAAATTCTTTTCAAAGGTTTTATGTCTGTGTACATATTTTTTTGCACTATGTGTAAGTTCATTTACCGGTGTCCTTAAAGCTCTTTTGGCAAATAAAATGGTACAGCAGTATATAAATACTGCTTTGATTTGCAATTTTTTTGTTTCATGTAAAGCCGAACATTTTATATGTTAAATGGTCATTTGTATTTTGTTTGTAAATTGCTTATTTAATGCTTTGTCTTTCTTTTCTGTCAAAGTGTTTGTTTGTCCTCAATTTTTTTGCACCAGTGTGTGTGTGTGTGTGTGTACAGACATTCTTTGTCAGTTATTAATTTTCCCTTTCAATTTGATATGATTATCCTCTTGCATTTTCCTGGTAAGCAATCCTATATTTCATGTCATCTACACATCATTTTAAATGTATCTCCTACTTTTGAACAGTAATACCTAACTGTTGATGCTGTTGTTGTTTTGTCTCATTGTAGTGGCCCTATCAGAACAGGTACATCATAATGGTGAGAATAGTATGGAGCCTTGTTGCCTTCCTTACTCTAATGAGAATGCTGATCTTCCACAGGATCTGGTGAGTCACTGTCAATATGATGTGTCTTGAGATAAAAGTATGTTTTATTCCTAGTTTACTAAAAGTTCTTTCTATCAGTAGTTGATGTTGAATTTTTTTCAGCTGCCTCTTCAGTATGTATTAGTATGATCGTTGGGTTATTAATCATTTGGTGCATTAAACGAATAAATTTCTTTACATTTATCCAACCCTTAGAAGTACTCATTTTGAAGCTGTTTCACATGCTACTTTACTTATTTTGCTATTGTTTTCCTTCGGATTTTTAGATCTAATTTTATAAGAAGAATAGCACATGGGTTCCTTTTCATGTGCTAATTCTTGATGATTCTTAAAAATCATTACATTACCATCTTGAAAATTGGATAAAATAGTTCCAATATTTTCTATATAGAGAAATATTTTAAAAGCATAAGAAATAAAAACTTTACCAGTAAATGATCTGGACCTTGCATATTTGGGGCAAGCAGTTCTCTGAAAATTTTCCATTTTTTCTCACTTTTAGTCATTTCAGAATTTCTTCTTCTTTTTTTAATATATTTGTATTGATTTCAGAGAGGAAGGGAGATAAGAGCATCAATGATGAGAGAGAATCATTGATTGGCTGCCTGCTGCAAGCCCCCCACTGGGGATCGAGCCCGCAACCCGGGCATGTACCCTGACTGGGAATGGAACCCGTGACCTCTTGGTTCCAAGGTCGATGCTCAACAGCTGAGCTACACCTGGCTGGGCTTATACTTCTTTTAAAATATATTTAGACTCCTTATAATTTCTAAGAAAATCATTGAATTCATTCAGATTTTCCAGTATTCTCATGAGCTTTATAGAATATTTCCCATAAAATATGTGTTGCTATGTTCCCTATATATTTGGTAGTGAATACATTATTTTTTTTCTCATTTTCCATTAGACTTGCCAGAAGTCTTGCTATTTTTTGTCGTATTTTCAAAGAACGTGTTCTTGGATTAATTTCATTTCTTGTCTTTCTATTTCTGACTTATCTATCTTATTTACATTTATTAAGTCCTCCTGTTAGAGGCACCTCTCACCAACAGCAGAGAGGTGTTACCAGACAGGACAGCCCAGAGTCCATGGAGAGGGCTGTACCCAACCTTGATCCTTGTCTTCTCATATAAATGAATTTATACCAGAGACCTTGACTCTATTGTGAAAAGCCAATTTATTAAAGCAATTAAAGCATGCACCTTTATTGAAAAATCAAAATAAGCAAACCTATACATCTGGCTTATGAAGTGCAGACGGGCTCTCAGCTAATCTGAAGAGCAGGTTGGGTGGGGTCCAAGGCATTATATACCCTCCTGTCTATAGGTTTCAAAATTCCTCTGCTGAATATTTTGGTACAGAGTAATTTTTAAAACCTCTCTCTCTCTCTCTCTCTCTCTCTCTCTCTCTCTCTCTCTCTCTCTCTCTCTCTCTCTCTCTCTCTCTCTCTCTGTTGGTCTTCCCAGAATTCATGAGAAGCACCTGGCAACTTGATCTTGCCAAGTCTTGAGACTGCTGGCTTCTCGGCTTAGGGCAGTGGTTCTCAACCTTGGCTGCACATTAGAATCACCTGGGAATCTTTTTAAAATCCTGATTTCTGGGCCTCATCCTCTGGAAATTCTGTTTCTTTGTGATGGGGTGGGGCCACAACATTAGTAACAAAGAAACAGAATTTCTGGAGGATGAGGCCCAGAAATCAGGATTTTAAAAAGATTCCCAGGTGATTCTAATGTGCAGCCAAGGTTGAGAACCACTGGCTTAGGGAGTAAAATGGCCCTTTTCCCTTTTCTCTTTTCCCCTTCTTTTCTGATTTCTCTCATTAGGGAGGTTTTTAACCATTTGCTCTTGTGTCCTTGGCTGGGGAAGATAATGGCTTATTAGTTACAAGCTGGCTGCAAATTGCCCACATTGTTTGGCCTTGTTTTAACTTTCCTGTCTCAGTTTCCCTATTCCTCCTGCCCTGAAATCCTGTAACACTCCTTCCAGTTGTTCAACTTGTGTTGCTATTCTTTTAATAACTCTTGAATTGACTAATAAGCTCATTTATTTTGAGTCTTAGTTAATAATGAAAACATCTGTGGCTGTTAATTTTCCTCTGAGTACTGATCTGGCCACATGACATAAGAAGAGTAGAAGTACAGTGATCTCACTATTATAAATTTTCAAAATAATCATAATTATAGTTTTCATATTTTTCTATAACCCAGTAATTTCTTAGAAAAGTGTTTTCTGCCCTGGCCAATTTGACTCAGTGGATAGAGCGTCGGCCTGTAACCAAAGGGTCCCAAGTTCAATTACAGTCAGGGGCACGTGCCTTGGTTGCAGGCTCCTCCCTGGCCCTGGCCCTAGCCTAGTCCCTGGTCGGGGTGCGTGCAGGAGGCAGCCAATTGATGTGTTTCTCTCACATCGATGTTTGTCTCTGTCTTTCCTTCTCTTCCACTCTCTCTAACAGATCAGTGGAAAAATATCCTCAGGTAAGGATTAACAAAAAAAAGAAAGAAAAGTGTTTTCTAAATTTCTAAGTACTTTTCAGATTTAACTATAAATATATGTATATATTATATTTTAATTAGTATTCTTATTAGTCTCAAATGCATTAATACATTTTAATCTTAGAATTTATAAGTGGCAGTCTGTACAATTTACCCATTATCTCAAAATATGTTTTATTAAAAACTTCAAATAAGCATCTTATAATATTCTTTTTAAAGGAATCATGAATGAACACTACACTGATAGAGTAAATTTCCTGTAATTATAATTATAAAAGCATTATCCATGACTGTTTCATATTGTTTTAAAGTAGATCAATCATAATAGTAAAGAACTATGAAATGGAAAATTTCTCAAGGTAATAAGATTTTGATATCAGGATAAAGTAAATTCCTGACAATGGGCTGATGTGCTTATATGTTTGGATTTTTTTTATAACAACAAAAGAAATTGTCAGATGTGTGGCCCAACGTGACATGATTCAAAATAACATCTTTTATTGGTTCTGTCAGGTGAATAGAAAGACAAAACCTTAGTGACAAATGTGAAGCACTGTCAATAACTTGACTTCAAATCCAAAGACACCACACATTACATATCACATAGAAAGTGCTAAAAATGAATTAATTGTTAAATAGCTTGGTGGAAATCTCTATAAAATAGATGGAAAACAGAGCTACATTCTAGGATTCGTACCTGTCAACCTACTGTCTTTGTTTTCTTACACTTTTCAATATCTTGCACAAATTTAGTGTTTGTTTTGATGTACAAGTTTTAAGTAGTGAATGCCCACAGGATTTGTATCCTTGTAACTTGCTTCATACAATGCTCATTTCAGCATTCCACATATAGGAGCCTAATAACTTATTAGTAACAGTGGTAATGATGACGGGTAAAGTAGTTTCAATCATTTTGAATATGTTACTATTGACTTCCAATGTTCCAAGTTTAGAGAATGCAGATAAAAAGTGGATTACTGTTTACCACGAGCATTACGAAAAGCACCGAGTCTCCTGAGACAGGAAAAAGAAATTGATTTCTCCATGTTTTTCATACTCCACGATACTCTTCAAAAGCAGTTTCTCGGCACATAGCTATTGATCTACTGCTCAGGAAGGTAAATTAAATATGAGATCACACAAACAGAAAACACGTGAGTCATTCTTTTTACTCATTCCAGATGCCTTTTAAAGTTTATTAGAATTGTAAATTCATGTGGGCATGTGTATGCTTCATTTACTGTAAGAAAACAAGAGGTAGTGAGAACTGATGTTGCTTTTGAATTTTAACCCCCGATTATCACAAACAGGAATTTTCTAAACCTATAGCACCTAAATCTACTACAGTAAATTGTGAAACCATTTAAAATATGATGTTACTTTGTACATTTTTATGTTTTTTGGAAATATATCTGGCTGTGACACGTTAAAATAAATCAAAACTTTTTATCATTGAATATGGAAATCTTTTATAAGATTTTTAAAAATCCTGCACTTTTAAAACTAGTATCTATTACAATTATTTAGCACCACTCACTAATTTTCTAGAATAGAAGTGGTAGAGTTTTAATCAAATGTGATCCTTCACCTTTTAATTGTAATGAAATTGATATATAATAAACAATTTAAAGAGGTTTATAATAATTACCCCAATTTGTTCAGAATAATTAAAGAGATAAAAAATGATTCTACTCTCTTTAAACTATCATTAGGTTAAGATAGATATGGCGATAAAATATTTTTGCCTCATGTGCAAACCTATTCTATTTTAACCTAGTGGTTCTCGATCAAGGGCAATTTTGTCTCCAAAGAACATTTAGAGACATTTTAAGTTGGTGGAACTTCAGGGGGCTGGGAGTTCCATGATTTCTAATCGGTAGGTGGGGCCCAGGGATACTGCTAAACATCCTACAGTGCACAGGACAGCCCCTACAGAAAAGTGTTCTCCAGCCCCAGATAACAATAGCACCAAGTCTGAGGAGCTACTTTCACTGTGCAGATGCTTTTGGGTAAGAGACCGCGTATTCCTTCTTAGTTTCCCAATATCAGAAACAGCAACCTGGAATCTAGTATATTGGAGACAGTTGGTGCTGACACTTGGTAAATTGGCATTATTACTTTTATTGTTCACATGTAGAAATAAATAAGCCCTATGTCATTCTGAGAAAAACCTCCTAGCTGTAGGTGTAGTGAGTTTTCTCATTACCTGTCTCATTATCTGTTCGTCATTGACCCGGGTACCAATGATGAGGTTCAGTCTTAACTGCTGGGTGCAAGCTACTTAGGCGTGCACAGTTTACCTTGAAGAGTTCTCAGGTTGGACACACCAGTATTATATTGAAAGAAGGCAACAAGTTTGCTTTTAATTAACTTTTATACTACTTGTGGAAGTGAAGTTTGGCCCAAGTGTCTTCTCTTTTAAAACTGTTTTCCCTATGGTGACTACATGTTGGTTGTTCAAAGCTCTATATTTATGAAGGTTTCTCTCCATATTGCTACCAACAGCGTAACATCAATTTGCAAATTTCATAAATCTTTGTTTCCCTTTATTATTATTCTTATGTGGAGTTATTTCCATTAACACAACTAATAAGGAGGAAGAAAGGACCAGTTAAAGGCCTAACTAATGTTTCTCTAAAGATTACCATTTAATAAATTTATAGGATACTGGTTAAATGAGAGATCAGTTTAATATATATAATATATAATTTTTATCTCACATATTATATGCTTATAATATATTACTTGCTCTGTTTTCTGGATTTACTATTACAATAAGTTCATTTATCTTCTTATTAAGATGGCTAATTATAGACTAGAATAATCAAATCTATGATCTTATTTCTAATTAAATCTCAAGATCGTTATTACCATAACTGATTAATTTTACCCTCCCTTATCTACTTTATCTGACTTGCCTAATTAGAATTTCATTTTATTTTTCTGTTTAAGCCTTACAGAAAAAAAATCTTGCTTCAAAATTTTAATATAAAATTTGTACTCAGATTTTATCCCCTTTACATATCCCATTCTCGAGTAAACATTTAACTATTAGTATTAAGTAACAAGATTGAAAAATCCTTACAAGAAAAGACTATATGGTTGCAGCACCTTCCTCTTGGGACCAGTGAGTTGATTCCCACAAAGGCTGTTTGAGGAGGAAGCCACTTTTCCCCTCCTTTGTCCCCACTAGGTCCTGCAGGCCTTCACTTTCTACAACATCCTCTAGTTTATGACATTGAGGCTGTTTGAAAACCCCTTTAACTAAAATGCATGTATACTGCCCGTATCAATGTGCATTCCACTCACTAGTACCTAATGCTTAGTCCTTGCACTTGGTAAGTACTCACAGGTTGCTCTTAATAATAATGTTAAGTTACAGATTTCTGATGGAAAATTGGAGTTTATGTAGCTTTGGATGTATCACATGGTTCCAAAAGATCTAGCTGGAAAGTAATAATAATTGATTTTAGGATTAAAACATTCTTAATAATATAAGGGTTGCATTTCTCATGGCCCATCAATATTGGATTGTTTAATATAACTCAGTTGACTAATCATAATCATAAACTGGATTTCTAAGATACCTAACACTGTTGGGAATGAAGTATCTTGAGGTACATTACATTTTATTCTCATTCCTAAACAGAAAGAAAATTTAAAACACTTTCAGGATCTATTATAAACAAGGATTTGAAATATTTTTGTCTTCATCCTGATATTTTATGCTTTATTTTAAGATGCAAAAATCTTATGAAACTAGGATATTCAAACAGCTCATCAAATTTTGTAAGTTAATTGACAGCCATAACCATTATGAACTTTGGTTTATTTTTTACAGGCTAACGTTTTTTTACTTCAGTGAAAGTTAATCACTATTGCTTGAAAACAACAATTAGACAAACTGAATGAGTGTAATTTTGCCAGTGTTATATTCCTACAGAGGGGACATAAAGGGCAGTTACTTAAATTGGATGCTTGTGTGCCTGTCTATGTGTCTCATCCTGTGAATGAAGACCAATAAATTATGACTTCCATGTAGTAAAAGCAAGACTCACACTGAGTTTTCTGATATGTTCTTGTAGATATTTAAATATTTACACTGCTTCTTGAATGTTACATTGAAAGTTTTTCATGGTCTTGGTACACAATGCTTATTTTTCTAAGCTAAAATCTTTGCAGCTAGAAAAATATAGTTGGGCTTTTTGGTCTTTTATATGTGCCTCAGACATGAAACAGCTCTGGCCACCAACACAGGCATCAAGCTAGGATGAACTAAGGACTGTATATCTGCTTGGCCCCTGATTGATATAAGAGCAACACCACCAATCAGGTGTCTCCTTGCCCACTGCCAGGGGGTGACTTTTCTGGTCTTTAATCACCTAATAGGCTGTCTGTTGGAGTTTACCCAAAAGTGTTTAGCCCTGCCCATATGTACTTCCTCTGTCAGCCTTTATAAAAAGGTGATGGGGGCCAATTTTCATAATAGAACCTCAAAGTACCTTCCTCCTCAAAGCACATGAATGAATCAATATCTCAAAGTGTCTGCCCTGAAGTTTTGGCCAATGACAATGACCTCGTACTCTCTACCACACAGAATAATTCTCAACACCCTATAATGAGAAATGTCACTTTGGGAAGGCTATAAAGACCTGCATGCAAGACCTCTATTCCTACAAATCAGAGGTGCCGGATAGGTTGTTGCTTGCAGCCATTCACCCATTATGCAATGTTAATCACAAATGTGGACACAGCCACCAAACTTCCCAGCACAAGTTATTCAGGCAGTTTCTGTGAATGAATCAAGAGTTGAAATGCAAATTGAAATCTACTTATCATCCTGGGTAGCAGTAATCTAGATGCTACTCTGGCCCTGGCCCTGGCCAGTGTTTCTCAGTGGTTAGAGCACTGGCCAGTTAGAGCATTGGCCCACCCACCAAAGGGTCACTGGTTCGATTCCCAGTCAAGGGTAGGTATCTAGGTTGTGGGTTCGCTCCAGGGGGGAGAGGGAGTGCGTGCAGGTGGCAACCAGTGGATGTGTCTCTCTCACAGTTATATTTCTCTCTCTCTCTCTCTCTCTCTCTCTCTCTCTCTCTCTCTCTCTCTCGTTCCCCTTTCCTTGATTTCTTCAACTATGTCTTTGGTCCAGTGTTGCCTACATTTTCATCAGTTGCATCAAATCATTGTAAAGGAGTAAACTATTGCTAACTACACAAAAATTAAAACAGTAACTTGCACAGTCTGTATTTGGTCTCATCTCCTGTTATTTTTTAAGGCAATAAATGAATGATATTTAAAATATTTTGTGTAAATGAAGCAGAGTTTTCAGGGTCAGAGTGAGCCTATAATGAAAGTGTTCTGTTGCAAAGTTGTTCTTTCCTCTGTGTTCCTTGTAGCACATTTGTGAATATTCCCACTGTCTTCAAGGCAGAAATGAAATGGAGGGTGAGAAGGGAACTAATTTGTGATCTTAAAACCTTTATTGCTGGCATATGAATAATTATATGTAGCCAATCTTGTTACTACGAAGGGGAAAATGTAGCACTCCATAGGAGTTAAAGGCGCATATATATTCAATGATGATTTATTGGTAATTTATTGTGTAAGGGGCTGTAGTGAGTACTCTAAAAGTTGCTTCCTGTGTTTTCTGGCCAAAGATACTCATACTAATCAGATCAAGACCTGTGGTTACTGTCAAATGATTAAACAATTTAGTAACGAGTTTGATGGCCTTTATGCAAGGAAGGGAATATAGTCCATGGGTTGGGGGGTGGGGTGCATTGCCTCACAGGCGGAGGAGCGCCCTTCCTGAGGGAGTTTGAGCAAGAGCGAGTTTTATAGAATGTTAGAAGAGGCAACATGGAAATGGCAGGATGAGCGAGGAGGTCAGGGATTTCTTTATGAGGCTAACAGCTCCTGTTTTCTAGGGTAAAGGAAGCTAGCTAAGCTGACTTGGACAACTGTGATTGGTATGTTTTGGATTTCCTTGACAGGTGGGTCCCATAAGTGCAGGATGACTTAGGCTTAGATTTGTGACATGGGCTGGGCCACTAGGGTGGCCTCTATTTTGTGGGTCCTAATATACAAATTAACTTTACCATTACAAGCCCTTTCCATCTACCAACACACTTAATACCTTCCTTTCTAGTCATTT